GGAGTCCTGCTGAATATCGTCTTGTTTCAGGTCTTTGCACACTATTTTAAAGCCCTAACTTCGTAAAAAGCTGATTACTTTTGAAGTCAGCGAGAAGGTAGAAACATCCAGCCTAACTCTCTGGCCTGTCCTCCCTTCATTCAGACACATTCCCAAACCAGCTGATAATTTGGTGCTGAACAGTTATGCTTGGCTCGGGGAGGCCCTGAAAATGCTCCCTAGGCCCAGCGGAGGTGGGGAGAAAGAGCAGGGGTGAGCTCACTTAGTCCCTAACCTTCACTATTTTGTAACAGTAGGAATGTAAACTCTGCTTTGGAGCTTACATCAGCTTTTGGAGGCTTTTAACAAGCTCCCCCAGATAAGACTAAAGGTTTTACTTGTCCTTTTGGCCAGAAATAAATATTTATATCGAGGAAAGATTGCCAGGGCCTGAAAAATATCGAATTATCTAAGCAGCCCTACGAAAGGATTCACTGTGATTGGTGTTTGAATTACCAAATGAATGTTAATCCCGGTTTTTATCCCAAATCCATTAGATAGTCACCAACTGCGGGAAAGAATTCTGAGAATTTCTCCAATAGGCTGAAAAGAGTTACACTGACCTGAGGTCAAAACCTGCAAATGTACGTATTTGAGTGCACAGGTTCATGACAGTAGATCGCTGTCTCTCGAAAGGTGCCTGAACCTTACCCCGGAGCTTTCGGGTCCTGGTCCCCTCCCACGGAAGACCTGCTTATGGTTCCCCAGCCCTGCCCGTGGAGCATCTGCACCTCCAAAGTGGCCACGCACAGAAAGACTCCGCTCCTGCTGTACGGGTCGCAAAAATCAGCTGTGGGATTATGACCATGTGAAATGGCTAACTGGTTTGATCTAACTTAAGATAGTTTGAATCACATCCATGAAAGAGCTAGCCGGGTCCACCCCAGGCAAATCATTTCAACAAAACCTGAATTTTTTGAATTTCAGCTCTGACGTTTACCGGGGATGCCACACTAACTCTACCAACTAACCTCCCTGAGCCAGTGTCCCAAATGGTGAATAACAAATAATGATGATGTCGAATGAGACCCTGGGTATAGATCCTTAGGCAAAAGGACCTACAGACACCCCCGCCTTAGACAAAATCAGTGTAAACACGGAGAGAGGGGTTGAGATGTGGGTGTGGATGCAGACGTATGTGAGGGTGCAGATGTGGTGTGGTTCTCTGTGGCCTCTGTCCCCATCTTCAGGGGTACCTAGGTCTCAGGCCTAGGGCGTTTGGCAGTTCGGTGTAATGTCACTCACTGATCCCCAGATCCTGGTGTAGGTCAAGCTTCTGTTCGATTATCAGATTCTTGTAGACAGCTGTTTCGATTAAGCCATGTGCAGTGGATGCACCCAATTCTGAAATATCTTGGGTAAAAAGGGAGGAAATCTATATTTACAGATCATCGAAAAATCCCCCTAGCTGCCGGTTGCACACTCGTGCGCCTCCGCAGCCTTCTCCCCCGTAGCCAGCAGGCCAAGCACCGGCGTCGGGCCCCGGCGCACTCGAGGGCTCACGAGCGGCGACCTGGCTGCCAGTGGCCAGTTGGGAGTCGTCCTCGGAGCGGGTGGTGGCCCTGGGCCGCGGGGGAGGCTCTGTGCCCTGCTTCCCAGGGGGATGTTCCAGGAAGGAGTCAGATGATCTGCGTTATGGAAACCAAATGGCCCTCCTTTGTTTAGAGAGGGAGAGACAGAGAAAGAAAAAAAAAGTCACTCATTTTTGTGGTAAAGTGAAAACAGGCTCCAAACCAAACAATCCTCCCCGGAGCGGAGAGCGCCAGCTCCCCGGGGCGGCCCACAGCCCGAGGCCGGGAGGCCGGGGGAGGCCAGGGGAGGTCGGGTGGCGCCTGCACTCCAGCCTCCCCAGGGTCCCCAGTCCTCCCAGCAGGCTCGCCTCCCGAAATACAGGGTCTCGCGGGCGGGAAGGAAACACGCAGGGAGGGGAGGGGAACCAGGTGGCCCAGGCCGGTCCTCCCGCTCCTTTCCAGTGGGGACGCAGCGGGGACAGCTTTGGCGCCAAGGCCCCGGAGGTCGCGTGGGCAGGGACGGCCACGTGGGCCCTCGAGTGGCCGCGGCGCACTGTCCCCAGCCGGACGCCCGGGGCCTCCTGTGGCCCCCGAGGCTCCGCGGGCCTTGCGCTCCGGGTCCCACGAGGCGCGGGCGGCCGGCTGGGCCGAGGCCAGGACAGCAAGTGCAGTTGGTGGGCAGCCGCGCTCTCGGGAGGGTGGGCCGGTGGAGGGCCGGGCGGAATCCCGGAGAGCCCGGTCCGGGCCTGGCTGCGGACTTGCCGTGCACCCGGGGCTCCTGCCGCCCCCGAGCCTCCCTGTCGCCTCGACAGTGGGCGCAGTGCCCCCCAAGGCTGTTGGAGGAGGAGGTGCCGCCTGGGGCCCCCACGGGCAGCAGCCAGGCTCCCCTGTGTGACGCAGCCCGGTCCCTCACCTCCCTCCATCCCCCGCCCCCTGCCTTTAAAATCAAGGGAGCAGCAGCCTTCCGTGGTGGCCCTGCTCGCAGGGTGGCTTCGACGATGCACCGACAGGCAGTGCATGTCCCACATGGGTCTCCCGGCATCATTGTCACCACACGCTGGGAAGGACATGCTCCGTCCAGGCGTCGTGCGGCCTGCCGCTGTCCTCGAAAGCCTCAGCTTCCTAGGGTGCACCTCCCCCATCCCAGCAGCGCTCCATCACCTGCAACTGCTAACTCTACATCCAAGCAGGGACCTCCCATCGCCCTTAGGAAAAATCCCCAAAGCTCCCAGCGTGCCCCACAAGGCCTTGGTCGTCTGGTCTTGCTGGCTTTCCTAGCCTCATCTTGAGCCACCGTCTCGTGCAAATTCAGCACCTCGTTGGCCTTCCCTTAGCTCCCCAAAGCTGCAGGCTCCTTCCCGCCCCAGGATGGTTGCAGGGCCGCCTGCCCCCCTCGGCGTCCTCTTCACCTGACCCCAGGTCTCAGCCTACATCGCCTTTCCTCGGGGAGGCATTTCCTGACCTTCCTTCTCTCTCCTTGGGCTCCCCACAACTACAGTTAAGTAGCAACTTGCGTCGTTTGCAGCAGGCCAGCTCCTTGCATGGGGTGCTGTCTTCTGTTTTGCTCACGGCAAGGCCTAGCACAAGGCCGACACGTGGAGGGCATTCGAAAGAATGTATTTTTTAATAAAAAATGAAAGTGCTTAGTAAGCACGTGACTCCCCTGCAGCTGCTACCAAATCCATGAAACTAGAGAGCGTGTTTCTCCTCTCAAAGCCTGTGTCTCTAGGTCATAAAGATTTGTTGAGGGGCGCGCAGCTGGCTCAGCGGTTGAGCATCCGCCTTCGGCCCAGGGCGTGACCCCGGGGTCCCGGGATCGAGTCCCACATCGGGCTCCCCGCAAGGAGCCTGCTTCTCCCTCTGCCTGGGTCTCTGCCTCTCTCTCCGTGTCTCTCATGAATAAATAGATAAAATCTTAAAAAAAAAAAAAAAAAGGATTTGTTGGATGAAGGAAGGAATGAAAGATGAATGACTTGGACTAACCTCCCTAACTTTTCACCTCTTGGAGATCTCCCGAGACCTCGGAGGAGCCTCTCCTTCCACGGAGACACGGTGCTTAGCACTCTAGAGGGGGTGTCCTCTGACCCCCACCCAGGCGGCCCTGCTCCTTCGGTCCAGGCACGGAGGCCGCCAGGCATCCTCATCCCCGCTCGGCCCGGGGCTCAGTGTCAGCCACAGTCCATCGTCATTGGAGACTTGGGTTTCGTAACGAATGCCCGTGCGCAACACCATCCTTCGATGTGTGCGCGTGCTCCTTTCTGCCTCCCCGGCAGGCACTTGCGTGTGTCCACCGCTTGGTAACGGGCCTCCCTTCACTCACCTTCATGCCGCCTGCAGGTCCCGCGCACCCTCACGGGTCGCATCAGGAAGGGATGAGTGTACTGACCACGGCGGGACCTCCTCACCCTGCTTCTGGGCCCAGCCCCTGGGACACGTTGACGTGTTCAGGACGCTGGAGGTGCAAGCTGCTCAGAGCAGCTCAGGCTTTCCCCGGAACGAGAGCAAGAGCTTCCCACCTCCCCGGCCTCCGTCCACCTCTCCCAGCTGAATCGGCTGCAGCTTCCAAAATCATCCCTTCTCGTTTCTTTCCCCCAAAACCTCGAGAGCTCCTTTTGTAGCTCGTGGACCTGTGTCCAAGTTCCTAAGTTCTCACCCAAAGGCCTCAGACCAAAGCTACTCTCATCCGGACCCTCCCAAATCCTACTCACCTCCTCCCCCGGAATATGTCTCGCTTGCTCCGCCGTTGCTCGCGCCCACCCTCCCGCCAGCAGGGCCTCTTCCCGTCTCTCTGCCGAAGCCCACCTCAAGCTTGTGTTCCCTGGCACCTCCCCCGGCACCCACCTAAAGGGAGCCCTGCGCTTTCTGAAGCCAAATGGTATTTTTGGCTTAGTCACTCCTGGTACGTGTCCGCGAACTTTTCCTTTAAAAAAAAAAAAAAACGAGATATAATTGACGAGTAGCATCATGTCCGTTTCAGAGGCACAGCGTGGTGCACGTGTGTGCGTGTGCGTGTGCGTGTGTGTGTGCATTCCTCATTCTTTACCCGCTCATCCAATGCTTGCTGCATGTCTTGGCCGTGAGAAATGATGCTGCGTCGACAAACTCTCTCCGTGAGTACGGCTTCTCTCTCAAGCAAGGCTCAGACCTGACGCTCCCCGGGGACCAGGCTAACGTCCTCCGGTGTCCCCTCAGTTACGCCTGGTCTACGGTGAGAGCTCAGTCTCAGTTTGTTCCCTGATTAACTCAACTGGACGTTCGAGGTCGGGGACCAGCATCCTAGCAGGAGGCCCTAAGTTCCTTCACTTGAGTGGATTTTATGGCTCAAGGCTAGCGTCTGTTGCAGAGTTGCTGCTTTTCTGGTGTCTCCCGGGACTTGGTGTCTCGCGGTCACTGAACGTGACATTGCAAGGTCGCTTCACTCTTGTTAACCTGGCGACTTCCTTTTTGCAGATGAGAAGCCCTTCACCGTGGAAGACACGTACCTGCTGTGCCCGGCACCTATCTTAAAAGAAGTTGGCATGTAAGTTCCCACCGGCACGTGCCCCTCACGGTCGGGGGGGACGCGGGAGGCCGAGGGGAAGGGTCGCCAGGCAGCCCTGGCCTAGGGCGCTCGGGTCGTGATGTGCCTGTGCTTAGGGCGAGCGAGGCACCGGGACAGATGCCTTACAGGGGGAAGCTCGCTTTATCCTCCCAGGTTCCCCAAGGACCAGGGTTACAGGTGTGCAGGCTGTGGCCCGAGAGCCCGAGTAGCCTGCCCAGGGCCACACCGCAGGAGGCGAAGCGCCGAGTTTCGAGCCCAGGTCTGTGTCCCTCGGTCAGACCACCCGTGTAGAGCTCGCCCTCCCGCAGGCCCCGCGATGGCAGCTGCCCTGGGCGACCCCCTCCTCCTCGGAGACCAGGAGGCTCAGAAAGGAGGCCAAGCCGAGGGGCTCGCCGGGTGCAGAGCTGGTCTGAGGCCAGGCCCGGCGCCCCTTCCTCCACTGGGCCTGGGGGGCTGTGGGGTGTTGTCGGAGAACACAGCTGGCCTCCCTGTAAGCGAGGCGGCAACGGGCTGAGGGACCGGTGGCTCTCAGGAAGAAGACGCCAAACCGGTTCATCTAACTTCACTTTCCATCATCCGCCCTCTGGGTGCCCACCACCGGCCTTCGAGCCCGCCGGTCCCACAAACGCGGGCGCCGCGTGAGCTCAGGCCCCATGAGGCTCAGAGGGGGAGGGCGGGAAGCCGCTGCCGGGTTCCCCCGGGCCCCCCACCCACACGAGCTTGCCGGGTTCACGCGGGGGCTGGAGCCACGTCCTGGGAGACCGTCTCCTGCTGACTGGGCGGCCTTGGCGGCCTGTGCGAAGGGCTCAGCATGTGGCCCGGCTGGCGACCGGGGACTCGGGGAGCTTGGGGGGCTCCAGCTCCTCTGCAGGGGCCCAGCTGTAGGCACCCCGCACCCCGCTGAGCCCCCGGCCCCTTGTCCTTGCAGGAAAGCCGCGCTTCAGGTCAGCATGAACGACGGCCTGTCCTTCATCTCCAGCTCCGTCATCATCACCACCACGCGCTGTGTAAGTCATCGCCTTCCCTTCCTGGGAGGCGTCCCCAGCCGCTCCTTTCCGCGGAAGTTTGGTTCTGCACCCTGGTCACCGGGCTATGACTCCAGCTCGGCGGGGCCGGCGGGGCCGGTGGGGCCTGGGCCTGGGGCTGACGGCAGAGGGTGTCTGGTGTCCCCGTGTTGGCCTCCTCCACGTCCCCATTTCCGCGACCGAGGGTGAGGCCTGAGCGCGCTGGCACGTCCGGGTGGCAGTGGGACCGGGCCAGCATCTGTGCAGCGGGAGGGGGGACATCTGCACGGACTGGCTCCGGGGCACACGTGCAGAAGGACGCGGAGGGCGCGCGGAAAGCCCGGCTTAGGGAGCTCTTCCCTGACGGGAAGCCGGGGAATAGGCCAGTGACTGGAGAGCGGCGTGGAGTGTAAGGGGGATTCAGAATGGGAGAAACCGAAGCTTGTTTATGGGACTTCGGAAACCATCCAGGGGGAAGCAGGGCGGGGGTGAGGGTGCTGTACCGCAGGGCCCGTGAGGCAGAGCGGATGGAAACCCAGCAGCGCCCCGGACGCCCCCTCTCTGGATCCGTAATTAGGGGTTTTCTTTTCTGGTCACACATAAAATCACCTGGACGACTTTTAAAAAATGATGATGCCTGGGCCTTGTGCTATAGCCCAACGGAAGCAAAGCCGGGAGTGGCCCTAGCTTGGGTGGCTCCAGGGGCCCCTGGGGAGGTTCTCATGTGCGGCCGGGGTCGGGGTGGGGGGGGGACAGCCCTCCGGCCAGTGTCCTTGCTCCGTCCTGCTGTATCTCAGAGCTCAACCCATCAGGGGGCCACCGTCAGGGCTTGCCTGAGGGACCTCGGGCCCTAACGTGGGCAGTTCCAAAGTAACCTTTGCCTGAATGTTATAACCAAATGCATTTTTCCCATCGGATCATTCTAAAGGTTCATGTGTTTGGCCCAATGGTCACCTTGGGTGGATACTGTGGTCACATCCTGGCTGAGCTTTGGAGGCCGTATCATGAGAGCCCCTCAGTAATTGGGGCTTGTAGCCCTAACAGGGTCACAGGTGGACGAGAGATAGTGGGCGTGCGCCAGGGTCAGACAAGATAAAAGCGAGCCTCTCGTAAATGAGCGTGAGGTCGGCCTCATGGTGGACAGTGTTCCCTCTCCCCTTGCTCCTCTGCACCACCCCCCACCCCATTCTCCCCCCAACACACACACAGGTTTTCATCCTATATTAGGACCATCCTATATTAGGTTTTCTTGAAACCAGTGTTAGCCATGGCAACAAGTACAGACAACGGAAAAGTTTCCCTTGACCGAAGTAAGAGAGTAGGGTTGTCCCAGAGAAGTGTCACCACCGAGAAAGGTCCACGTCTCTGGCACCCCTCAGGGAAACATCAAAATCTGGAGACCAAATATGTAAAACCTTTTGGAGCAACGGTGAAGTCTCTTTAAGTGTACCCCGCCTGATTCCTTTAGAAATTGACCCTTCTGGAACTTGCCAACCTGCAGGAAATGATTAAAATACCCCAAAGCTAACAACTCCATCCCAGATTCCTCCCTGCTTCTGAGTGATCCAGCAGTTTGGGCCTGTATTTCTCATTATGTCTGACGGTACCGCAGAGAAACAGCCGTGCCCTTGAGGCCACAGGGGCACGGGGTGGGGAGGAAGGGAGAGGTCTCAGGACCCAGCGTGGTATGGCAGCTACAGGACTAAGACTACAGCTTAAGTCCTGGCCTGTAAGCCAAGAGGAAAGGACGTCCCTACGGACCCATCGCAGAGTGAAAAGAGCTCAGAGCGAAGTTCCCTCCATCTTTCCAACTCACTCCCACCTACTCTCATTCATGTCTTGCGTCTTCCTTACCTGAGTGCTCATCACTGAGTCTCCTGCTCACTTGACCCTTGATGGACACATCTTCTCCCTCATTGCCCTTTCACTCGAGAACGCCGTATGTCTACAACGAAAGTGTGAACGCTCCAAGATCTGAGATCCACGACCGTCCATTTCATTTATTCAGCAAATGTCCACTGCTCACCCACAACGTGCCAGGCACGGTCCTGGGCCCCTGGGTTACACGAGAGAGCACTACGGACAGAGCTGTCTGTCTGGCGGGGAGCGGCAGAGGGGGAGAAGGCCGACAACAGACAAGCACAACAGATGAATCACACACTGTGTTAAAAGGTAATATACGCTACAGGAAGAAAACGGAGCCGAGCAAAAGGACTTGGTACGACTCGGGTGAGTGTGATGGAAACAGAGATACGTTGAGAAGGTGGCGTGTGAGTAGAGACTTGTGAAGTTAACTGTGAGGCTCCTGGGGGAAGGACATACCAAGCAGAGGGCCCCAGCGCTTAGACCTCAAAACCAGACACTCCGTGTGTTCCAGGAAGAGCAGGAAGGCTGGTGGTCTGTCACTGGAAGAGAGCCAGTGAGGCGAGCAGGAGACGGTGAGGTCATGGGGATGGAGAGTGGAGGGTCTTGTGAGAACTTTGGCTTTTGCACAGAGGAGCAACATGAGCCGACTTAGATCTGAGAGATCACTGTGGCTGCTGGAACAGCCCGTGGGAAGACAGAGATGGAAGGACTGTGACTGGTGAGGAGGGTAATGGCAATATTTCAGGCCAACGATGATGATGGCTTGACTCAGCAGGAGGCAATGGAGAGACGAGAGGAGCAGTCAGAGTTGGCTATATCGCGAAGGCAAAGGAGATGGATTTCCCAAAGCACTGGATGCTGGGCTGGAGGGGAGCAGTGTGCAGAAGGGTCCCTGGGCTTTGGCCTAAGTACTTGGAAGAATGGGGTTCCCTCAAGGGACAGAGGGAAGACTGAAGGAGCCGGACTGGGGTCGAGGGGGAAAGTCAGAGGTCAGTTTTGTTGTCAACTTATCTGACCCACACATTTAGCCCCTTCGTGCATCAATTTCCTAATCTACAGAATTAGAATAACAATACTTCATCTCTCTTGGCTGCATTGTGAACATACAGGGAGTGCTGTAAGTGCCTGGTAGACGACCTGGTGGGGGGGCGAGTGCTTATTAAATGTTAGCCGCTATTCTAGTCGAAGCTTAGTCAAAATTTATTCAACTAATTGGAAATTCTTTCCAGAGAGTTGGCTCCCGCTTCAGAGGCCCGTTATAATACAAGGACTCTGCTGAGATAAGGCGGATCCCTAAGGGGAACATGCCTGTCACTCAGCCAAACCCAGGTGACTGAAAGGAGGCAGACGAGATGGTCAAAATCTAATTTTTTTTTTTCTAGAGAAAAAAAATAGAGCTATAGTCAAGCATAAAACCCCAATCCCCAGCAGGACCTTAGAGAGAACCTCAAATTTAAAAGATTGAAGCCATCACTGGACAAAATAGAGACGCAGGTGGAACCTGTGGTCATCCAGAATATGAAGTAAGGTCTTGGACTTGCGTTTGTTCCTTCAGCAGCTGTTTTTGAAGGACAAGGTTTTTAGATCAGAAGAGATCCCCTGAGTCTGAGTAAAGGGTTAGGCTCGTCGGTGCCAGTCACAGCCTGCCCCGACCATCACCTGGAACCAAAAATCATTTTAAAATACGTAGTTGAGACTTTTCTTTTCTCGCTTTATTTGGTGCCCATTTGGACAACCGTGTCATAGTTTTCAAGATCCACAATGAATAACGGTTGCCCCTGCCAGGAGCAGAAATTCCATGAAGTTTTACAGGAAAAGAGTTTTTTCCATCCAAGAGCTAAAAGATTCCTATACAAATGGTAAACTTTGCTGAGCTCCAGGGCTCTAGAAAATGGTCAAACATCCAAAGTCCTCTTTCACCAGCATAAGTAAACGCAGCCCATCTCTATAGTCTCAAGGGGCCTCCCTTTTCTTCCCCAGCATCTGGCACTGGGGGGCCGGGGGGGGGGGCGGAGGGCATCACGACTATGGTGCTGCTTGGGGAGAAGTACTTAAAAGACATTTGTCTTTTTGAAAGCAAAGCAAGCAGATGTGAGCACCTGAAAGAATTTTTCAGGAAAGATGGTCTCCTTTTAGATAAATGCCTTCAAATTTTATGATCTCCCCACCAAAGGGTACACAGATCAGAGAATCATTCAACAAGTGCTTGTTGAACTCCTACTGTGTCATGGGTGTTCCACTTGCATTTTACAAAGTTGTTACCCTTAAGGAGCTTAAGATCCACTTGGAGAAAGGAGCTCAGGAGACATACGGAGGAATAGGTAAATAAAGAGAAAAAAAGAGAAGAAAAAAAATAAAGAACAAGGCTGTGTGAATGAGGTGTAAATGCTATAGGATTTCAGAGTGGGGAAGGAGGATTGAATTGAGGAAGGGACAGGAGGGCTTCATGGAGGAGACAATCCAGGTGGTGATTTGAAAAATGGTAATTTCAGGTGAAGGGGGAGGGGGGAGGCTGTCCTCTAAGGAGAAATCCACCTGAGGAAGGACTCGATATGCCTGTGAGCAGTCAGTTCATGGTCCCTCCTGGGAACTACAACTCTTTCTCTCTTTTCCTCTCATTTTGTATCAGTTTCTGGTGCCTTCTAATTTGGGGCCATTTTTCAGGCTGGCAACTACTCTCCTAAGATGCACACCCCATGCCCTCGATCACCCAGTATGTAACAACGAGACCCAGCTGATGCCCCCCCGCCCCATTAACCAGGATTAGGATCCGATTTGCACTGGTTTCCCGTGTCTTAGAGAATCACCATCTTTGAAAAAAAAGGAAAGAGACCTAAAGTTTGATGTAAGGTTCTAAAATCAATACTGAATCAGAGGAGAATACTGTCTTTCCCCCTACTACTTTCTATGAAAAACAGCCTGACTACAAGTGGCAGCAAGGTTGAGCAAATGTAAGAGACCCATGTTAAGTCACTGTTCAAAGAACTTGTTTTTGAATGAAAATTAAAATGCAACAGACTCAGCCCCGAGGCATCAAAACCAGAACGACAGCTTTGTCCTTGTAGCACAATGGAGGAATTAAGAATACAGGATATTAAGTCTAAGTCCTAATTTTGGATCTTAGCCCCTCCAGGTTG